TTTACTAGGAAATTGCTAGGAAAAGTAGGTACAAAACATGTGTTTTATTTAAATTCGATATTTCCTATCTATTTCCTCCTAATTTCGTAGTAAGAAACTATTTCCTCCTAATTTCGTAGTAATATTTTACTACGTCTTTACGAGGAAAGTGTTTACTACGGCATTACGAGGAAAAGTACTTTTTCCTCGTAAGCTCCTCATAAATTTACTAAGGTCTTACGAGGAAAGTATTTCCTCGTAAGTTTTCGAGGAATTTACGAGGAAATTTGCTTTCCTCGTAAGATCCTAGTAAATGCTTAGTAACTTTACGAGGAAGAATTTTCCTAGTAAAATTTCCTAGTAAAAGCTTTGTTTTCTTGTAGTGAATGGCTTCTTCAGCTCGCTGTACTTCTTCTAGAACATTTACATAGAAGTTTATTTTTTTTACAAGAAGTTTAGCTAATTAACGTTTGGTTTATAGTAAGTCATGTAAATGGGAAGGTTCAAATTCTTAGGAGCTTGGTTTTTGTTGTTTCTGAGCTAGATCTAGCTCTTGGTAGAGGTTACGGTTCAAGTTCTGGATATGGTTCTGACTTCTGTTCATGAGGGTAATGTGTATATGGTGGAGGAAACGGAAGTTCCTAATTACGGGTCAGGTTATGAAAGCCGAACTCGATAAGACTTTATATTAAGAAAAAAAAAGGGAAATTATTTTTATTTCATTCATACATTTTATTTCATTGCAGCACTATGCATGCAAATTAAGACCTGGAAAAGAAGTTACAACCACAATACTTTGAAGACAGAGACTTACGCGTAGACCTTATTCATGCATGCATGCAAACTTTAATGGTCATGACACAAAACATAAAACAACAGAAGGGAAAAACAGCGTAACCGAACCAAGAAGGGATATATAATTGGTCTGAAATCAGTTAGATGAGCCTAAAGAGGCCATTCACGAACTGTAAGATGTTGATGCCGCCGGTAAGGATGGTTCCGGCGAGATTTACCGTGGCCATGAGGACGCTGTTGGTAGGGAGGTTGGCGTTGCATGCAGAGAGAGGAGTCGTGACGATGACCCTACAACCGGAGGAGAGGAGTGCTGAAAGCGAGTTAAGAAGTGCTAGGTTGGGAGAAAACGAGAATACTCCATTAGCGTCCGTAGTTGTAGTTGTAATATTTTGCCCAGCACACTGAAGCAGAACTCGCGCACCTGTTCGTTTGTTTGCATGCAGCTTTAGATAAGCAATTTTTTCTATAACTTTTTTACAGTTAATTCAATATTATTTGTCCACAAATTGAGAGGGCCAATATTGTTATTATTATTTATTATTATTGTCTTTTTTAAAAATTATTCTCACAGATAAATATTATTTCGTGAATAGTATATTCGTCCTTAGTCCGTACGTGTAGGTAAGCTTAATTTGTACTTTTGAATCTAAAATTGTGTGTGTGCAAAAATAGTATTGAACATAAACAGTTACTAGAATCGATAAAGAAATCTACGTATACAATTAAATACTGCTGGTTCTACCACATTTTACTAATATCAGTTTATCTGATTGCAAATAGCTAAATATATGTGATGATTTAACACACAATATATAATAAGTTAAAACCTGTTTGGTTTGTCTGAGTGATATTATCATCTATAACTATCAGTCTATCACATAACATACAACAAACCCGTTATGGTTTGCAGAATCCTTGCGATTTTTGTTTGGCCGGTTTACAGAAAGCACAAGAATGGAAAACTTACCGGCGAAAGGAATGGAAGTAGCATTAGTAGCGACGCTGCCATTGATAGAGCACATGACAGCCCCTTGGATATTGATGACACTAGGCCCGCTAAGAAGCCCACCAAGTTGAGCCTTAGCCATTGGAGACACCACCATAAGACACATCAATATCAGTGAGAAGGCCATGTTTTTGTTCTTGATGAGCATTGCCATGTTGTTGGGATTACTAGAGAGTAGATACTTTTTGTGTTGCTATTGGTTTTAGATGTGGTTAAGTGTCTTCCCTTGCAGCTCTATTTATAGAACAAGATTCATAGATCTCTCTCCCTCCTAAATATGTAAATTCAAGTGTAGTAAAACTTAAAAAGATCTATTTTATATTTTCCCATTTATTAATCATACAATTTATCTAAGAATATCTATGTAAATTTTTAAGGAATATCCGTTTTTCTTTTTTCTTGAACATCGAAGGAATATTCTAAAATTAGTCAGGTCTAACGGTGCTTTGGCTGTGACATTTTTTTACCCTCTGTAAACAAATCAAACTTGCAAAACGCAGACTTTTCGTATTAGGAGAGATATAGAGTATCAAATCAACCACCCAACTTTTGTTATAGATTGGCCCATGAACCTATTTTTTTAATCGTGGACTTTGCGGTGGATCACTCGTTTTTTTAGCCATCACAAAAGTGACCAGATCGTTCGTAGATTATCGTAGGATAAACAAAACCTTAGTTACTTATGAAACTCCGCGGGACCAAGAAAAAGGGGATTCCTCCACCGATCAAGTTGTCCACTTAAGTTACAAAAAAAAATTGAGTGAGTGTTCGTTCTATATGTTTTGGTAGATTTCGAAAACCCTAGGAAAATTAAGCTACTCGGGACTTAATCTAACCAAGAAACTCATGTAAATGCTAATAAAATGACAGATTTTGGAGTATTTTTTCTTACCATGAAGGATGTCGTTTATCTTTGAACTTGCTTTTTTGTAGTTATTTGTAAGGCCAAATCGCAGTCTCCTAGACATTATTTGAAAAATGATTTGATCTATGTTTTTTTTACAATCAATTTCACTAAAAAATCAAATATGACATACTAAAAATAATGACATGGCTTATGATTAAATAAGACATGACAATTGTATTTAATGTTTATTTCTATTTTTGATAAAAGTTAGAATATAGAAATCACTCATATATCATCATGAACGATTTGATGATAAATATAAAAAGATTATGAAATTTGCGAAAATAGAAAAAAGGGAGGCCCAGACGAAAGACCCATCTTCTCATCTTCTGAGTGGGAGAAAAGACCACACAACCTCTATAGCTCATCTCTTTTACATTGTGAAGCGGAAAGGTTATACAATCATGACATGCATAGCAGAGACACGGCCGTGCTGGTTGGGGCAAAGAGGATGATTGACTCATTCCATACTAGAAAGAATCGTAGGAAATCTTTTGATAACACGGATTCGGTAATCATTACTAAAACTATATATACATACTATCCATTTATATTGGTTTAGCACTCTATCTAAAAAGTAGCCTAAAAAAATAACCACTAAGAATACCTCAAAAACATAAAAAACTTTCACCTAATTGAGTGAGAAGGCAAAACCAACCTAAACTATCACTTTCCAAGTGAATCGTCTTTAATGGTTCTTTGAGACTCTCTACATCATTTCCGTTTTGTATGAACATAAGGTTAGTTAGGTCAAGCATTTATGACATATCTCTATTCACTACCGCCGAAAGGTTTTTAATTTATTATAAATGCATGTTGGTCTAAGATTGTTTATCGCTTAGGAACATTCCTTTTGTAAAAACTGAATTAAATTCTTTGGAATTGTTGTCTTGCATGCGGTCATTAATTTTGTCTCAGCACCGTGATTAAAATAAATTTATTTATTTTCAGATGGTGAAGCTTGTTAGGCTTTGGCGTGGTGAATGGAACAAGGAAGACGACGCCGCATGAAATTTTTATTCGGATCCTACAAACTGGGTACGGGGCGATGTAAGAGTGGAGCGAGTTCGGGGAGTTGATCCCGAAGGGAACACATTAACAATAAAAATGAGTCAACTCTCCAAGGTTCTCATCTTCGTCTTCCTTTTGTGACTTTGGTGAAACCAAGT